TAATGTTTCTTATTTTTGTGTGTGCCTCTTCCTTTGTAACACCATATTCTTTCATATAACATTCAATACTTGAAGCTGCATCTCCTCTTTTTTGTTCTTCCTAACATGAATTAAAAAAAACAAAATTAATCAAATGAATGCACACAATCAGTCAAACTATGTGTCAAGTCAAACAACATCATATAAATTGAGACGTAAGGAGTATATATATATATATTATACCTCATGTGATGAAAGATCATTGAGTAATCTCATAATGAGAGAAGAAGCAACAAGTATTGGAGGTTCTGTTGCTATCCAATCAAATGCATCTTTAGTTGCTACCTTTCCCATTGCTAACTAAGAAGTAGTTGCTAGCAATAGGTAACTACTTGATGGAATTCCATTCTTCATATATTGCTCCATTTTTGGTATTTTCTTCTTATGATACCATTTTGCCTCTTGAAAGTAAGCCCTCAACACCTTTTTCATCTAAACATAAATAATAGCAAAAAATTAAAAATCGACGAACAGAGTTTGTTTTTTTAGAAATATTTAAAAATGTAATTACTTAGAATTGAGCTCAAGTATTTTTCGAGATTTGAAATAATTCTTATCACTCGACCACACATGTTTGCTACTTTTATTTATAAGTACCTCTATTATGGAATAGTTGACTAGGAATGACTTGTTTTCATTTGTCAACTCTTTCTCAATTTCATCATAAGTATCTAGAAGATCACGGTAAAGAATTTTCATATATGATGGTAATTGTTCTGAAGCATCAATATTCCACCTACATATATATAAAATAGAAATTATAATTAAAAATGTTGTAAGTTATCACTATATTATATATAATAAACATAATTATTACCTTTCAACTGCCCTTGTGAATAGAGTAAGTTCATCTAGTGTCCCATATATATCATATGTGTCATCAATAATACAAATGATGTATAATTTTTTTGTTAATATTTTCCTTGCAACGCTATACTGAGGCTCAAAATAGACACCTAAACTCCAGAAGTAAGTCTCTACCAATCTGTCTCTTATATAAGGTAATGCATTCACAAGTTCCAATTCTTTCCACCACCTACAATTGGACAATATTTGCTTTAAATTGATATATAAAAAAAATAAACAACAATAATATACCCAGCGTAGTTCACACAATGAGGTCTAGAGAGGGTAGGGTGTACGTAGACACATTACCTCTACCTTAGAAGGTGAGATAGAGAGGTTGTGATCACAAAAACAGTCTAGAATGGAGGTATAAGATACAATAGATAGTAACAGAAATAGTAGTACTACAACAAAATAATATTACAAACGGACTATACGAAATAATAGATAGTAACAGAAAAAATTAATGATAATTGCGCGTAACCAACTACATACCTTGTGATATCATATAGCTCTTTTTTATGCAATCTTTGCAAGATGTTGAAGTCTAATTTGGCAAAGTTTAGTAAGGCTTGATTGTGATTTTGATTTTGTTGGTAAAATGATATGTATTTCTTTGTTTCTACCCTCACAATGCCATCTTTAATTGGAAACTTGAGTGCATTAGTGATTTGTTGTGCAAGTTGGGAGTTGCTCAATTTAGGCAAACTTAGTTTTAATTGAGTAATGGTGAAATTTAGTGCAAGAATGTGTTCTCCATGTACTCTGAATTGTGCTGCCTCATATAAGCTCAACATTCCTTGCACATCCTTAACCAATTCTTCCTTGAAATTTCCTTGGTCATTAGTGAACTTCTTAAATGCATCTGCTTCAAATTATATATATATATTATGAGCAAGGAAAAAAGGTACTAATTATAAGTGGGTTTTTTTTCGTGGTGTTTGATTATAGTAAGAAGAAAATATCTATTATTCCACAAGCATTTAGGTATAATATGAGAAAATACTATGATACCGGATGTGAATCCCCACCCTTTAGCAAAGATGCATACTTCGAGTGTGGGTCATGATTAGGTCTTAGGTCGAGGTAGGAGTCAGGTCCTGGGTTGGATCATGGGTCTAGATAATAGGTCAGGATTCAGGTTTTGGGTTAGGATAGTGGGTCAAGAGTCAGGCACGGACCAATCTCAAGAGTTGATGTCAGGTCCTGGTCAGGGTTGAGAGTCGAGTCCCAGGTTATTATGTCTCATGTTGTAAGTATAATGCATATTAAATTGACAATATTGTGGAGAAAAGTATAACCAAACAGTAGTATAATGCATATTAAAAATTAAAATAATAAAAATAGGGCATACCTTATAATGATGTCAAATTGAAGTTTTTTCCAACTTACTAACACACTGAAAACATGATGACTCCATTCCTATTTATAATAAAATGTTTTAGAACTTGTGGAGATATTGATGATGATTAATTTAGAGGTTTTACAAATTGATAATATTGTGGGGTCCATCCACATATTTAGGCAAGCCTATTTGTGAAATACTTTCTTCGTCTATTTTTATTTATCATTATATATTAAGAATAATGTCTACTTTCACTTGTTTAGTTAGGAAAATTAAGACATAATTTATCACTTCATTTCTAACTTATCTTTGTTAGTATTAACTACAGTCATTTTTTAAAGAGCTAAATTTATTATATTTAAGAAATTATTATTTTATTTATTGCTCCTTAAAAAGTATTAGTTAAGGAACTAAATATTAAAATCAACACCTTAATAATTCCACCTTGATTAACCTTTTTTCCACTAACTTTAAATCGTATCATTTTGAAATTCTCATCTTTTGTATTCTTGTCGTGTTTATAGTAATTTAATAAATATATGACACATATTTTTATTAATATGGTTATTATTAAATTATAATTAATTAATATATATTATCAACTTAATTATCATTAAACTATGATAAATTAGTAGGGTTTGATGTAAACACCTCATACGAATAATTGAAAACTATAATAAGTTAAATTAATTTTACTAATAAGATAAAAATAGAGAAAGTAACTTTTATATATTGAGGGAGCGTTAAATTATGATACTATATTTGGCAACCCAAGTCCATAACACATATTGCTTGTTTTGGTCCAACAAGCCTCATCGATTTGTCTATTAGACCAGATATTATCAAGTCTAAAAGCATGTGTATAATATTGTGAGCTTGCCCTATTCGTTGAGTAATTCATTAAACTTGTGTTATGTTTGATAAAGCTCTTCAATATATCTCCTTTTTCGATGAGGATAATTAGAAGCTTGTGAGCTTAGAAGTTTGTTAGTTCTTCTTTGTGACCCGCCCTCCGTCATAAACATTACATATAAACTTTATTTGTCTAGCCATTAGTCGATTTCCTAATTGCGACTTTAGCTACTTCTTCTGCCAACAAGCAAAAGCTTTTGGACCGTCAATTAATTGTTTTAATTAATAATATTCCAAATCAAATCATTAAAAAAATTAATAGCATATTTGGTCCCTCAGTCATTGGTCAATTCTAACTTTAATTTTTATGATATCTGATTAAGCACTTTTAGCTTATAATTGCTTGAAATATACATGTTTGATCCCTTTACTTATGAATAATCACATATTTTAGAATTAATAATTATTAAAGTTACCCTTCTTCTTTTTTTAAAATATTAAACTGGTACTATTACTTCATATTTAAGGTTAATTAATATACACGATTCTAAATAAAATATATTTCCAGGCATACATTTTAATTAATTAAAAACTAAATGTATTAAGCCATACATTATAAAAACTAAAATTAATAATTATCTATAACTAAGGAAGCATGTATGGTCCACCGGTAGATTATTCAACCAATTTAATTTAATAAAAAGGTCCCTTAATACAATATATTCAACCCATTTAATTTAATAAAAAGGTCCCCTTACACAAAACATATATATATATATATCAGATCGATTTATTTGGTTAGGGAAAACTACATGATTACACGACTTAACATAACATATCTCTAAAAATTTCTACCATTTGAATTAATTACAAAAACCCTCTTTTTCTTCCTCTTTCTCTTAACATCCAGACACATCCCTCACCTCTATCATATACATTGCAACTTTGTTTGTGTACAAGATATCTGGTACAAATGTTATTATTGATACATAACCCGATTATTTCAAACCTAAATCAGTGTAAATCTTGTTTATAGTTATGTATTATTTGCTATGTATCGAGCGAAGAAGCGATGTATCCGCGAGTTCTAAAATATTCGAAATTATTGTAATTTGGATAACTTTTGAAATAACATGTAATTATAATAACTCAAATTGTTGGGGTTTCTGTACTTTATACTCTTGGTTATGAACATGGATAGTCCAGATAGTGATTTGGACAGAGGGTGGCCAAGTTGTTGGGCCCGAGGCTAAATAGAGGCCCAAGAAGTAGATGGTCTAACAATAGATTTGCTTGAGATTCAGATTGAGCGAGAAGCAACGTGACAAAGGGATAAAAGGATTGTAGTTTGCGCCTTTACACAATTGTTTGGATGGTTGTTACCTGTTGTATTATATTGTTAGTTTAAATACAATGTTTGTTTTGATTGTTACTTAAATTTTATTATTTAAATTTATCATTAGGTAATAACCAAAAGACTCATTTTGTGTAACAATATATCGGATTTGTGTGATCGTGTCAATACCTTAATATTTTCTTCACGTTTTGTTTTTACTTATAATCTAATATAATTGTATTTTATCCTTTACCCTACTTTTTTACAGTAGCTCCACCTCATACCCTAATTTTCTTGCAGGTTTATCATCAAATTATGGATGTGTGATATTATGTAACAACAAAGAACGATACAATCTATATTCAAATATTGTATTCACTAAGACAATACAGTACGATACAATACAACACAATAGTCGATACGATTATGAAACAATACGTAACAGCCATCCAAACAAATTAAAGTGTTAGGAATCATGCGTATTGTGGAGTAAAGAATCTGATTTTTCTCATTTTCATTCTCCAAGTGGGTGTTTGGCCATTTGGAAAAAAAAAAAATGTTTTCAAAGTGAAAAATGATAAATGTTAATAATACACAGATAGAGTTACCTTTTTTTTTTTTTGGTACACTATTCTCTCTGATAATACTTAAATAGGAATTACAGTAATTATTACATATATTCTAAAATACTTAAAAGAGTTTATTAATTTAGTTGTGAGCCTTAATTAGGCCTGTTTGAAGGAGTTTTGCCTTGCTGTTTTGAGAATAGTTTTGTCAGCTACAACAAAATATGCCATTCCAGCAGCTGTTGAGACAATAAGAGCTTTAGCAGTTGGATTTAGATAGGTTCTTGCCCATGGTAACATCTTCCCAATAGCAAACTGTATATTTCATAAACATTTGAGACATTATATGTTCGGTACGATGAAAAATATTTACAAAATAATAACTTATTTTCTGATATTTGGTAAATATTTTTCAACAACAATAATAACATAGGCTAATATTATCGATGGGGTCTAGGGAGGGTATTAGTGCATACGCAATCTTCTTTCTATCTTGTGAAACTGTTTTCGAAAGACAGATTTTTATGTCAAGTGAAGCATACCAAAAACAAAAATGAGAGGAAATATAGTAGTAAAAATGTAATATTAAAATAAAGGAGATCAGAGGGAATAGTAGCAACAACAAATAATATCACTAGTAAAAATATCATTATTTTCCCATTGATATATTTGATTGAATTAGTGAGAAAAAATTTTTTAATTGTTATTCTCAATATTTCAACGAGAATTTATTTTCCTAGTGAACTAGGTCAACGGAAATAGAATTAAAAAATAATCATATTCTATAACACAAAAAATTCAATGATGCATGGTGGAAAAAATCTTTATTTATAGTAGTCTATGTCATGGTAACTAAATAAAAGAAACATATAATAATAAAATCGAAAAATAAGATAACAAAATAGTAATAACAATAATACTAACAAGAGAAATTGAACAATGCTCGACTATCTACTACCCTAATCCTCGACCAATATTAAGGTACTATTTTCCACTAAAAGTAAAAGCACCAACGCTCGATTACCTACTACGCTTAAAATGTATATATAGATATAGTGTAAATCTTACTGTTGGAATGGCAGTAGCAACAGAGGCAACAACTGCTGCTTTTGCTCCTGCAATTACTCCTTCTGCATTTACAATCATTTTAAAAAAAAATAAAAAAAAATCATCAAATAATAAAAAAATCAATTTTTTTGTTAAGGTACAAGCAATTAAGGGGAAAGTACCATGAGAGCAGCGCTTAGCCATAGCTAGTTTTTGATCCATTGAAGCCAAACTCACATTCTTGGCCATTTTAATCTTGTATAAAAAAAAATTATACGAAGAATAATAATAATGCTTCTTAATTTATCAAGAAATTGATGATTTTGTGAGTGAAGTAAGAATGAATGTTTATTTATAGGCATTTTGGACAAAAATGTTTGATGGTTTTGTCTAATTTCCAATGTCCCAAGTCACATGTTTTTAGAATAAAGTTCTTTTATATTATTATACTGTGACTTTTAGAATAAAGTTCTTTATATTATTATATTTTAAGTTTTGGTAGTATTATAAATTAGTGTATTTGTAGATTATCTAAGTTCTTGCTGTGGTCGGTTCATTAGATTTTTATTTGTCGGTACATGAATCTATGGTTTTAAAAAAAGCTCAAAACGTTACCGATTCTTAAATTTGTTAGAATATTTTATTTAAATGCTCAAACTTTTAATAAAGCTAAGTATTCCCAATTAAACACTTACGATTTAAAATTTGAATTTTTTAATATATGTTCTCATTCTACTGCGTTAAATTAATCGTGTAAAATATGTTATTTTCTTTAGTTATGTGTATTTGCCTCAATAGTCGTAAAGTAAAAGCTCAAATGTTTTTTTACTTGAGATTGATATGTATAATTAAATGATTGGACATATTATGTGATTAATCTAACTATATAATAGACAAATGAAAACGCACATAGTGATTAACATAAAGAATTAAATAGTTTAAATCCTTGTAATATAAATGACTTTCATCATATCAAATACACGAATAGGTGAAAGTTTGGACTTTGGAGAGTGCAATATGTGCAAGTGGTTAAGGGAGTCTAGGATAAAAAGCACTTCCAAAAGCCAAAAGCCCAAAACAATGGGTAAGGACAGTCTTATTAAGCAATGTGGGATCAGATAATGTTTGGTAAAAAAGACAATACTTCTTCCGTCTTAATTTATATGACATTATTTGATTTACTTTGATATAATTTAATAATATTTAAGGAGTAAGTAATTTCTGTTCACGGTGTAGCAAACTAAGATTTAATTTAGAAACTATATGAAAGCCTTGCTAGTTATCCTTTCATTAAATCTTTCTGGGACTAAATCAATTAAAAGGGTATTTTACTTTACTCCATACATGGAAAATACTATTTGTCTCCTTTTTCAAGAATCTCTTTCACAGTTCCATTGCAACACAAAATTAAACAAACAAAACATAAATGAAGAGGGGTTGACTACCATGTATACTACTACAATTTGGAATATGAAATTCACTTAGATTTTCCTTTATTTGAAGGCCCTTTTGTTGATGCTTTCTTGTAAGGTGACTTCCTTGCCTTCAATTTGTTATCGGCTGACGATGACTTCCCTCCTTGGCTTCTTCCTTTCTTATCTTTTTTCACATTGTACATGTTAACAGCCTACAGTATAAGGTGAAAAAATTGCACTAATTAGCGCGTAGAAATCTCGGAAGATAAAATGATAAGAGATGTGTACATATGCATATGTTATACCTTTTGCACATTGAGTATCTCATGGGAGTTCTTGGCCATGAATTTGTTTAGGACCTTTTCGGTTTGTTGTCTCTCTAAGGATCCCATTCCTGATCCTTCAGCAACTGGTAGGAACTGGTTGTAGATAGGAGTGAAGTGGACTTAGAATTGTATAATCAGGTCAGAACTGAGCAAAGTTATGTATGTAGTTTTTGTAGTACAAACCTTTCGATACTTCTTGTCATGTTTTGGGGGCTTTTCACCAGGCAACTTCTTGTCAAATTTTCCGCCACTAGCTGTTGCATTTGCTGCCATTCCAGCGACATTTCCGAGTTCATCCTTGCTAATTTTCCTTGATGCAGCTTGTGATCCTGTTATAGGCAGTGCTGTGGCAGCAAGCTGAATGTGACTGCAAAGCAAGAAATGGAGTGTGAGGCACATGTTTTTCACTGACATGGCCAACTAATGTATGCTAATACACCATAGTGAGGAATTTTAAGAAGTCGAGGGCAAGAAGCAGAAAGAGGGCATCGCCGAATCAGCCCCAAAGGGAACTCACAAACAAAATAACTTGCGCTGCTTTGATTCGTTCACCAATGGTGTGTAATTCTCTTTGGATCAACTCACAAAACAAACACTAAGATATGCTGGAATCGATCGGAAAAGATTAGTTGACTAGACATACTTTTTGGGTAAATTAAAGAAGCTCTTTCAACAGGATCTACGTTTATCTCCACCATTGACTACACATTCTTGTGTAAGAGATAATAATTTCATGCAGAGGCTTAAAGCTCTGTAACTTATAACTTATAAGATATGAAAAATCCACTCCTTCTAGAGTGATGATAAACTTAGTCGCTGTTGCATCCAATATAATTTGAGAAAACATTAAACAAATTGCAAAACAACAAATATGTTAAGGATTTGTAAGCACTTAGAATAAGTACAAGGAGGTTCTCTCTTTGGGGGAGTAAAAATTTTAACCACCGCGCTTGTCAAAACAAATGACAACAGACAGAAGGATGCAACAGAATAAGAAAAAAGTAGATGCAAACTTCCAAGGCGGAATTTAGCAACTGATACAAACAAGGCTTGATGGTTTCCTGAATGAAATCTGCTAGCCAATGCAACAATTCAACAGCTAGTCTAAACTGGATTTTTTAAAAAATGGATTTGATACATGAGCAAAAAAACTAATAAATCCCTCATAGATGGCAGGAATTATTAAAGAATTAAAAACGTTTTGGCAGAAAAACATGAGAAGTTTAGAAGAACAAGACCTTGGCAAGGCACCAGCTTTTGCAGCTTCCTTCAAGTTACTATATCGGTTTTTCTCTTGTTTTTCTACTCTTTTCTTCTTTTCTTCTTGTCTCTTAGCAAAAGGATCTTGACCAGGCTCTGAAAAAACAAACAGGGAGAAGACATTTTCAGAACAATAACAAAATGCTAATGCAGATATGTTCTTCCCTTCATTGACAAAGCTAAGTTGCTTTCCTTTAGTTATCATCATGAGGACTTGATTGTTAGTAAGAGAGTATAATCAAAATCACTATCCATTGAGAACGAAATACTGAATTGAATCCTATCATTCAAAATCCTTCCAGTTGAGAGCTTGAGACATATAAGAAAAATTGAGTATTGCAGGAGTCGAGAATGAAAATTCTCTTACTTACCATCAGTTGCCTTGGCATCAATGATTGGCACATCTTTGTCATCATTTACACGATCATAGCCATGTCTGCGCTTCCATGAACCAGTTTGGTCATCAAACACCACCTTGTCTTTCTTACGTTTTTGTATACCTGAAAGACAATTTTTCCAAAACTTAAGAACACAATGAAGGTCATTTAAATCAAGAATTATATATTCCAAAACCCACAAACTATTCACATGGTACCTTTCTTCTTGGCAAACACTTCCCATTTTGTTGGAGGTTTAGGCCTTGGAAGCTGAAACAATCAAATCATAATTAGCACTAAAAGGAGCTGACAGATTTAACAGGTAAGACCACTGTAAAGAAGATCTCTTTTCCACTATGCATATCTAGAAGATGGGGGGCGGGAGGCATCGTCAGCATCATATATAACAAAACTTTAATAACAGGATCGGTGAAAGAAATTCCTTAAAATATGAAATCAACAAACTTAGGATCAGAATATATTATAAATGTTACTACATCGACCATTGTACTATAATTTCGGGAAGAAACAAATAAACTAGTAAAGTCATCAGGAGAATCGGTAAAATAATTTCTTGCCACATAATTTCTCACATTATTTCGATCACAACCACATTACTTCTCAAATTATGAAGGTAAAAATCTTCGTAAGCACTTTTCCCCTGTGCTCACTGTAGTAAATTGCATTATCATAGATTATGCTGCATATTAGATTCAATTCACATTTGAAGCTAGAGTCACATATGTTCCCAAAAGATATAATGAGATTCAACTATTCTTTATCAGAAACAGAAAACCTGTTCAGGCAAAGGAGTTACAAACAAAGACCTCATTGGAAAATCTGATCCTTTCGCTGCATTATATGTACACCCTCTATGAGACAGAATGAAGAAGAGCAAAACAATTGTAAGTTATTCATCTGTTTCCATGGAGAAGTTTCTTTAATTCATTTGATCAAGTTAAGATTAAAGTAACATTCTTCCTTTCAGAACAACAACATGAACCCAATTTGGAATGCGCCACAATAGAAAACAGATCAGTTGTTTCAATTACCATGAATGCGCAGAAAAATGAGTTTGTTGTTGTAAATACATGTTCTACCACTGCTCTTGGAATTGATAAGAAAAACACACAATTCTTGCGCAAAAAATAGAAATGAGGTCTTACAGGCTTCTCTCTAGGCAATCTCGTAGTTGGTTGAGGCAGCTGGACTAGAGGACCATCAGGGCTTTCTGTTGAAGGTAAGTTGAAGAGAGCATCTGCAATAGCTTGCACTAACTTGGTCCCCTCCTGTAGACACTCTTTCACCAACTCCTCCCTACATATTTAGAACAAGAATATATGATGAATAAAGGAAATCCGTTGAGTGTGCTTATCATTGTAACTTAGTCAAAACATCAAATTGAGCTAACATTGTTAATTGTGAGCTAGTTCCCTATCCCCATGAGTGAAACTATAAAGACAACTTTTTCTTGAATCAGGTAACATAACTAAAAATAGCAACAGAACTTACGGAAAAAAATTCCAAATAGTGGAAAGAGAATACTGTAAATACTTCCCAAGTTTCCACCTTTTTTCGAGTAACAAAAAAAGCATAGACAACACAGTACATGTTAAAGAAGGGTAATTTTCAAGAATATAGCCAACCAGTTTAATCCAACTAGCTAGGTATCACTTAAAAAGACACTTCACTTCCATCTACTATATTCTCAGCTAAATCTTCACTGATTCCCAGGGATATTTTAGTCTTTTTGACAATTTCCTACGATTTCAGGTCTACTCCTTCACCCCAAGATAACTCTGTTACCTCTTAAATCAAAAACAACATCATAGCTTGAGCAAAAATCATCCAAATAGTTGAAGACAATACTCTAAAATCCTTCTAAGGTTCCATCTTTTCGAGTTAGAAAAAAAGTACAGTAATTTCCAAAA